TCTAATATTAGTTTCTACTGGTGAAACAGCTTAAAATACATGTAAATTGGTTACCATGTAATATGTACATGTATTTATTAAACTTGTGTAGTATTTTTCATCTGTGCTTGAAGTACAACAATAAAAATTACAACACTTGTTTAATAAATACAATATACAAATATTCACCCCCAACAGAGGTAGACATGCAGTTTTAGCGACCCGAAGAGCTCTGAGGGTCTCTAAAACTGTATGTCCACCGCTGTTGCGGGTAAATATTTGTATTATTATACCAAATAAAACAGAAATTGTGACACTTGATCATGACAATCTTCAAGGTCACTCTCGTAGACCTGAATGCATGTATGGAAACAAATATACAAGTTCAAGAGCAGTGATTGAATTCTACACCAATCTCTTTCAACAAATACACTGTACATAATATGTGATATACAGTCAAAACCCGCAAAATATGTAACAAAAACAAACAAACTGTGTCGTCACAAGGCAAAGCAGACACCTCTCAGATGCTTTCGGGAGACGAACTGCGTAATCGCAGATTGAATGTCTCAAAGCACGTAGGTGAGTGCGCTGGTGAAACGCACAGCAAGCGCGACTAAAAATCATGTGAAATTACTACAAAATCCTAGTTTTTCTCTTCAATAAGATAGTCAAATAGTGAACGCAAACCTGGCAAACAAATCAGTTCATGAATATTGCCGCGTATCGTGTTCCCTTAACAAGTTATTGGCATAAATCACACAAATATGGCAGCAGGTCAACACACGAATATGTCTACCTGCAGTACGCGAATCTGATTGGCTGTAATGGTCACGAGGTATAATAATATTACATGGTCACTAATTACATATCCTTTATATATTCCCATCAAATAGTGGAGTTAAACAGAATGTTCTAGGTTGGCAGGTCATGCATTATTGTTAATATGATTTCATGACAATGATTTATCTGCTGATCTTTATTCTAATACTGTTAGTTTTATTAGAAAATACATCTTTCAACTGTTTGCTATTTGCTTATGATATTCAAACTCGAAATGAGCCTGCAAAATAGCTCTGATAAACTTAATGCTTATTGTCAACACATCAAAAGTTATTATTTTTAACAAATCAGGAAAATGTATTACTGTAATCATGATTTTTATCTGGATATTAAAGCTAGAGGGTAGTCACCTGCGCACGTGCAGGAATTGAGTACCAAGCGACGATAACAACACACGCTAAAAAAGGCTCATGGGTAGACGCTTGTTTGTAAACAATGACACACTATGGCCATCTGATGCATGACTCCCCTGCTTTAAAAAAATCAATATAGATTTCTCCTGGAAATTATTTTTGTTTAAATAATGGAAATTTTACAATCAAAAATAAAAATTTAGTAAAAAAACACAGCATGCATATGGTGTGGCACTAATTACATGTATATTAATCTTTCAGAATGCCGTTTAAAAGCGCAATTTTGCCAATATTTTTTGGGGATCCTGAATCAAAATGGAAAACCCCAAATTCAAGTTGTGTCAGCTTGTTGACTGCTGTGGAAGACCGTCTTCAAGAAAAAAAACAAAATTGTGTGTGTGTGACTGTACAGGTCACTTGAGGCACACACAAAAATGCTGTGGCCCCTGATTTCTTTCATTTTTACATTTTTTTTGTTTATGAAATGTGACCTTCATTTTACCAAATTATAAATTCCCTAGATACCAATATTATTATTATTTCTTTATTCCGCACTATATGGCCACCGGCCTAAAGTACTGTTACATTTCAAAACTTAAATTACACACGGCCGCTTTAAAATTACAAGATACATATACTTCAAATCATACTTCCATTTCAGTTTCTCTGTAATGAAAACTCTTAAACAAATATTTACCCAAACTTAGTAAAATATACGAGTTAGTACTCTGTAGCAATGCAATGAATTTTATCTTGGTTGGTGGTGAAAAATAATATTTTGGTAAGAATTTTTGTCTAAGTTTACATTTTTTTTGTTTATGAAATGTGACCTTCATTTTACCAAATTATAAATTCCCTAGATACCAATATAGTAAGATTTTTTTCAAGAACACTATATCAATATATAAATTTCTGTTGTGTTGACTTAAAGGGCACACCAATTATGGGGGAACTTTCACTTTAAAATTGCACAAATCAACTGAATGTGGTAATATCCAATAAAATGCTCAAGTGATGGTAATTCACAATGGTTATTGTGATATAGAATGGACTTATAAAATAGACCATTTTCCGTTCACTGCAAGATCCCGCGTTATGTGTGAAATCAAACGTAAAAACAGGACAAACAAAGGTTATAACGCCGTAGTGGCAACAAACTTCGCGTGGGATTCGACCAACACGAAAGTATTTTGGGGTACATTTCCATGCTTAATGATGTGCTGTACACATTTGATGATGATCAATTTCGATAAAGTAAGGATATTCAAACGCAAAATTCCTCTGTCAAAGATCGGCCTTTCGATGTGAGCTATGAAATAAAGAAATTCAAGTTCAAAATCAAATCGTAAGATTCGACACAACACGCAAGATTTCGCAGTTGAATAGAAAATCTCCTATTAACATCATCTTGTAAAGATTTTAAATGATTCGTATTGTTGAATTGTTTATGACAAATGAAGTAGACATATGATATCTCAAAGGTAATATGTTAACATTACTTTGATACTTAACATTATAATATTTTTCTTTCCTTATTATTTCATTATTACATACAGGTCCGGACGCACGCATACACTCACGCACACAAAGGTCAAAAAAGTATAGTAAAAAAAAAGTACTGTCAAAGTATGCATTTAGACAGTACGCCGTGTCAGTCGATACTCCAGCTGTACTGTCTTCGTGCATACTTTGAGATATCCCCATAATAACCTCATATTATTATTATTGTTAACTTGACTTACCAAATAGAGAAGTGGTGTGATCAGTGACCAAAACCAGTTAGGCATAATATTATTTGTCATATTCGACACAACCAGCCCAGGATTAGTCAGATGACTGTAGATTCCTTTCTCATTCAGTACATTATTTAATGCAATACTCAATAGATTCACAGCATATTTGGATGATGCATAGGGCTCAAACCTAGAGTAGAACATAGCATAACTAATGTCACCTTTCCTTTGCTAAAATTTGCCACAGTGAAACTGTAGATTCCATTCTTGGTTTGGTTAATCTAAAGGTGTAATATGTATTTGATACTGAGGGGGATAGTTCTGTATTCTATACAAGGGCTCAGCTATAAATTTACATCATGTACACATTCAATGTAATGTGTAATTATGTCATGTATTGTGCATAGTGTTCATATCTGTGGTTGTAGCTCATTGAACATACTACATGTATTACTGGTAGTAGCATATGCACTTACATCTATAGTCTATTGTCTAAATAAGCCATATTTTAATAATCCAGCATACAATAAATGAAATTATATGTTCACCTCTTTAGAGCATATACATATGTAGGACTTATTTCTAGACTAAAGTTCAGTATAGGCATAACTTGATATCTAGCTAGTTTTTTGCTTAAGGCTACATGTACCTTGGCTTGCTTTCAAAACCAGAGATCTAAATTATGTCTAAATATAAATTATTATTTAATAGTATCATAGTTAAATCACAAAACATCATGTGAAATTATTTTCGATAATGAATCTCACTAAAAAAATTATAAATTTTTATGATAGTACCAGTAGCTTGGAAATTAAATTGGAAATTTGCCCAGACTGTATGTACTGTATGTGCATCTTACCCTTCATGGTGTTGTACATCGTCTAAACTAAAGGCATCTTTTTTAGCATTGCTAGAGGACGTCCACACAACTCTTGCTGTTGAACTCTGTCTACTCAACATCTCAGTCAGTTCTTTCAACTGAAAGAGATAACAAAATTGTGTGTGGATGGTAACGTAGTATTCTAAATTTCAAAGGCAAAAACAACAGTACTGTTAAATCTGTATTAGAAGCTGCATCCCTAATACAAGCCACACCCATTCTTTTTGAATTATTGAGAATCAAAAAATCATAATTTCTTATATGTGTAGATGCTCTAATAGAAGCCGCATCCCCTCTTTTTGCATTGTACCAATACAGATTTACAGTACTATTATTCCTGTTTATTTTGAGAAGCAAAACTCAGTGGAAATAGTTCTGTCTGCACAGAACTGATGACGTAGGCACAGTGGTATTTTCCATTATACAAGGAATAACTGGAATTGTGCATGTGATAATAGGTCTGATCAATTTGTTGACTGTGATTGAATTTTATGACACATTCTATCTACAACCAAGGACATAACAGCGTGTATATCTCATGTATGCTACTCAATACTATCATTGTGTTTTGTTATTTACAGCCAATATGTCTTATTTTGGTGGTAAGTGCTTCCTAATTTTATCCAATTTATCATAATTATTGTCTAAGGCAACAGTTGACACAGACACAACAAGCATTCATACAGTAAGCATGTATAATGTATGTACAAGAAATGTTTCATCTAATTTATCCTTTGTTGTAATTCGAAATTACCCAAACAAAGTTAATACACTCAGAGCTAACCCAAACCCCTTTACCAACACACAAGTTTAGCACAGTGTGAACCAATCAATCACAAATGGAACAGGAAGCTTAATCTATTGATGCTATTTTGATGGTGTGAACAACATGCCAGGGCTGCAAGGCATGATACACAGTAATGTTCATTCAACACTGAATGGTTATTACATCACATTGTTACATGGTGTGAACAACATGCCAGGGCTGCAAGGCATGATACACAGTAATGTTCATTCAACATTGAATGGTTATTACATCACATTGTTACATGGTGTGAACAACATGCCAGGGCTGCAAGGCATGATACACAGTAATGTTCATTCAACACTGAATGGTTATTACATCACATTGTTACATGGTGTGAACAACATGCCAGGGCTGCAAGGCATGATACACAGTAATGTTCATTCAACACTGAATGGTTATTACATCACATTGTTACATGGTGTGAACAACATGCCAGGGCTGCAAGGCATGATACACAGTAATGTGCATTCAACACTGAATGGTTATTACATCGCATTGTTACATGGTGTGAACAACATGCCACACAATAATAGGAAAATTGTTTGCTAAATAATACTGTATGAAGTCTGGATGGCTGATAAATTCAATAAGCACAATTTCATCCCTGTTACAATTCATTAATATAGTTTTCCATATTCGATACAAACTTAAATATGCATATTAAATAAAAACATATTCATAAATTTGTAGATTACTCCACTCACTACCAGGCAGTCATTTTGTATAGTATACTTGAGTAAGTCACAAAAAATTATCTTACATTTATAATAAAATCGTAAAACAAGACAATGTGCACTAAGTCTAGGGTTTAAACCCAAACCCAAATATCATCAAAATCTGCCTACCGTTAAAGTCCTAATATAAACCGCGGTTTATATTACAATGTATCAA